CCCCAAAACCCCAAAACCCCAAAACCCCAATACTTTTAACTAGTGTTGAAATTAACTATTTTGCTATGATAAAATAATTAATCCTTTAATGGTAACTTATAGCTTCATTAAAGTTAAAGTTGCCAGGAATTATATATAAAGAGACTGCATAAGGAATAATTCTAATATTATAAACTTAAGCAAACAACATGGATGGAATTGGACGATCAATGTTGATAAGTCCCAATCTATCATATTGCCATATGCTTCAAACAAAATGAAGTAATTGACAAAGCCTATGCTAGGTTCAACACAAACCGTCTAAATTCAGAGCAAGTCACCATAGGCTTGAAGTAGAGTTTCCAAATTTGATGGAAGTTGCCTAATTGGAATGCAAGTCATATCACTGTTGAGGGCATTATGAAAATGTGTGAAAATTATTTGAAATTTTCCACAGTAAATCAGCATGCTTTATAAATGTTCTAAATTTCATGTTGAGAAATTAGAGAGTTAAAGTAGAAGCTGATTAACTGGAAATAGAGCGACAAGACTATTTAAGACGACAGATGCTATACTGTAGAAGGGCTCATAAATAAGAAGTGCATTTTCCAGTTCTCACAGTTGTATCTCGAGTTCCGTAATCTCCATTAGACCAGTCTTTATTTTCAACAATGAGGGAGTGTCATTCCAGAGAGTTTTATAAAGAAATTACTTTTATTAATTTTTATAAAATTTAAAGTTCCCCAAGTCATGTCCACAATATATTTGAAGATTAAAAAAAAATGTAGATTATGGCTTCTGAAAAGTTATTTTAAAATAGCTTACTTCTCTTTTTTGTTGTACATCTCTTAAAGACTCTATTGGAATGATTCTCAAGTTCACTGTCAATTGTCACTATAATTCTGTCTTGGATATTCTTCTACTTATTATATTCTGCTAGCTCGAGCTAATATTTGCCCTTGGAATTTATCTATCATCATGGGCATTTCTAACAAATCAGGAAAAAGAAGTAAAGTAGATCAAGGCTTACCTCAAGAGTGGCCTAGACTTCCCTGTTGGTCTGAGAATTCCTTTTATGGTATAATATATGATAAAACTTGTGATTCAGCCTCATTCGTTACTTGCCAGATCTATTATTTTTAGCTTGCTGATATTTAGTGTATCTGCTTTGAAGTTGTTTCCCAATTCTGATCAATAACTCACACAATTCAGCTAGGAGCTATTATTCAATAATGCTATTTTTAAGCTGAAATTATTATGTGCATTATTACTTGCTGAGGATATATCCTTGTATTCCAGGCTCGACTAGTCATGAATATAAATCTGGATTAACCAGCATTATTGAAGCATTCTCAATACCAATTAACCAATGATAAGCTTAGCATCATGCGACAATTGCAGCTGATGCTGGTGTTCTTCTCTCATAATGTCTTCAGTCAAAATGTGCTTGGTTGGATCTTCTTCCTCTATTGTCAATTTTTTAAAGGTATTCAAACATATTCCTTCGCTTTAGCTATTATAATAATGGCAGGCTCTTGAAAAGGATTCAGGAAGAAAGCACCAGAGACGCCACATTAAGAGCTATGTATGTGTTTTTCTGTATTCTGATATCTAAAATATACAAATAAGAGATATTGTAAGGACTAATCTCAATTTAGATAGATGGGGCTGCTTTTGTTACTCAAAACATAGCAATAAATTTAATTTAAAAATCTCTTTGAAGCTACAAAATTAGACTGCTCACAATCACTTCAACATGGTTGTTGGATAGAGAACATCCAAGTGGCTAAATATTTGCTTCGCCATGATCTTGGCATTTATTAAATAAGTAAAATCCCATTGTGGGGTTTTGGGGTTTTGGGGTTTTGGGG